ACTAAAGAAAGAACTATTCAACTTTTTGGAAAGGCAAGTCCAGCCGTTATCGACACTCTATAACAAAAGTTAATACTAGTAGTATATGGCATTGTGCTTCAGGGCAAATTGCTGGTACTTTCCGTACCAGAATTTAATATTCGAAGGAAAAAATTGATAGTTATTAAATATTTATCAATGATTAATAACAATTGTTTTAAATATTTTCAAATAGATAATTATAATGACTATATATTTTAACATTCGTAAAATATTACAGCGAGCGATAAGAGCTCGCTAGAAGATGCTGAATGAATTCATCTGAGTGAGAAAATATTTCTTACGATTAGAATAATTCATTTGAAATAAATACATTATTAAACAAAATTGTAAATTTAAAGTTTATATTTGACATTATAAAACTTTGTATACTTTTGAAAATTTAGAAAAAAAATCTGAAGATTTTGAAATTTGTTTGAACCCTATAATTCAACTTTGAAAATTTAAAATCTTGGTACTAAACCCAACAAAATTGTAACTAAATTAGTACTCCCTTTTAAAAACTCTGATATTTTCTGATAATTTGATCTGATTTTAAAAAATTTCTAACTTTACTTGTTTTTGAGATATTGGCAGTGGATCTTTTTACCCACGAACTTTTAAGCTCCGTTCTCGCCTAATGTTTTTTTTCGACTATATATTCATTTTTCGCCAGAAGCGAAATTATAAAATATTTTTCAACCGAAAAACAATAAGATTGTCATTCGAAGGTGACAAATGAGTACAAGTCTTTCAGGTCCCCGCCGAGAAAAGTGCGGCTCGCGCTTGAAAATATTTAATATTTTTCGACGTAACAAAGTCTCCAACAAATTGTAAAAAGAATTTTGTTGCAGAGAAAAAAAGAAAAAATATGTTTTTTTTTTGGATCGATTCATGTTGGGGTAAGGCTGAGTAAAACCTTTGTAAATATTTAAGGGTTGTTATTGTTAAGAAAATTGCAAAAATAAAAAAATTTTTTAATCATTACAAGGTTCACTTCAATATGAGTGTAATAAAAAAAATAATACTGATCCGATCATCACATCCAGGTGATAATTAATTTACCGCAGATGATGTTCATGGAAATTGAGCAAAAAATCCATATTTCAACCGTAAATATTTACGTAAAAAATTTTTTTTCAGCAAAATCCTGAAATACGTGTCAAATGATTTTATGAATAGTATCTGTAAACAAATTTTCAGACAATTCTAAAATGTCAAGGTTAATTGGTGTTCGGTTTGTAAAAGAATGACCCATATGTTCTTGAATTGTAGGTATACCTGTGTCTTTGTGGAGGATCCATGTTGGCGTGTAGTGAGGAGCGTTTAATATTTGCCGCAGGAATTTGTTTTGTGCTCGTTGTATTATGTTTAAATTGCTCTTTTTAGCAGTACCCCAAAGTTGTAATCCGTAGGTCCATACGGGTTTGATCACAGCCTTATATATAAGTAATTTATTGTAAGTTGATAATTCTGATTTTCTGTTTAGGAACCAATAATCATTTTTGAAGGTTATATCTATTTGTTGTTTTATGTTCTTTATGTGTACTTTCCAGTTGAGTTTTCTGTCTAAGTAAATGCCGAGATACTTTATTGATTCTTTGGGCGAAATAATTGCATCGTTGAGTGCAACTGCGGGGCAAGCTTGGGTGCGAAGCGTGAAAGTCATATGAACTGATTTTGTGCTATTTACTTCTATCCTCCACAACGAAAACCATTTCTCAGCTAAGCTGAGATGGTGCTGAAGACTGTTGGAAGCTGCAGTCGGATCTTTGTTTGTGGCGATGATGTCCTCGTCATTGTCGACGGTATGAAATAACCGATTTGTATGACTGAAAAAACATTCGGTTTGTACTCGATCGCGAGGTGCTTTTGCAAAAGTCACCTTTCGAAGGTATGGAGCCGTTTCGGAGGAATGGAACGCAAAGAGTGTAAAAATGGTCATGCAGTTTTTGGAAGAAAGGATAATCCGATTAGATTAATTTAAAAAACCTTTTGCTTGTTGAACGGTGTACAAAAATGCTTTTACAAAAAATTTCGTATTTTGAAAATTTCCAAAAAAAAATCTAAATTTCTAAATTTCTAAATTTTTAATTTTCAAAATAAATCTAAATTTTGAGAAATTCTTACTTATTTGTAGAGTTTTAGCTCAGCATTAACATTTTTTTATTATTCAAAAACTGGTCTGGTACTATTTTGTATTTATTAACTTTCCGTAGGGTAAGTTATAGTAATCGCAAAAAATCCAAAATGATTTTTTTATATATAAATTAGAAACTAGTTGAGAGTGGCATTTTGCCTTGAGGCAAAATGCAAAAACTTCCCGATAGGTGTAATAATTGGCTCAATCAATCAAAATTAGGATTTAGATATTTAGATTAAACTTTCAACTGTTTATTCCAATTAATATCTTTCATTATATTTTTATTCATAATATATAAAATTATTTTAATTATATTGCACAAGCACATGCTTGTATGTAATAAAAATGTAGCCTATTATTCTAAATTTTAATTAATTTATATAATTCAACCAATTTTCGTAGTGATTTATATGTTTAGTTAATGAACTTTATTGCAATGTTCATCTTCATGAAAAAGATCGAAACATGTTTTAAACCTAAATAAATTAACATTAAATATTAAACCTAATAAATTATTTAGCTCGGCGATTTTTACAATGGAAGAATTGAAAAGTCAAAGAATTTGTATTAAATTTTGCATAAAAAATGAAATAAAGTGTTGCAAAGTGCAAAAATTCACCAGATATGGCTCCGTGTGACTTTTTCCTATTCCCAAAGTTGAAGAGACCCATGAAAGGACGGCGGTTTTCCTCGATTGAAGAAAATCGCTGAGAGTGCTCAAGGACATATCAAAAAGTGAATATCAAGGGTGCTTCGAAAATTGGAAAAAACGCTGGCATAAGTGTATTATATCTGGGGGGGACTACTTTGAAGGGGACCACATTAATGTAGACGAATAAATAAATATTTTTTTGAAAAAACGAAAATTCCGGGTACTTTTTGAACAGACCTCGTACATAGTTCTAGGTATTATTTACTAATTTACATGAATGGTAACAATTGTTACAAAACTAGAGAAGCTTTCAGATGTTTTTTCATCACATCACAAAACCGACTTTTGTCACAAACTTTGACTATATGATTTTCTCATACTTTGATAATTTTTTAAAAATTAAATTACTTATCGTAGAGCCGTAATATTTGGGTCATGATATCTATATAAAACTCTGTATAAAAATATCAACATAAAAAGTTTTATCGAAAAAAACTTTCAACCGTTAATGACAAGAAAACGGACCGGCTGATCTTTGTAAATAACTAATCACCACGATTCCCAAAAAATATCTTTCAAATAGTTTAAAATCAATTCAGAACTTTTGGCTAAAACGTGTATACATTTTTTTTAATTTTCTGAAATCAAATTACAAAGAAACGGCACAGCCGATTTCCGCTCAAAAGTGAGAAACAATAGTCCTTATTATTAGTCCCAAGTTATTTCGAAAGGTTTACAAATTTTTCTAATCAATTTAGGCGTTTTTGAGAAAACGTCGATAAAGAGTCTAATTTTGACAGACGCTATTCAAGTAGTTAAACCACTTGTCGGGCCGTAACATTTCAGTATGTTCTATAAGCCCATGCTATTCATCGCCAAGTTTCATAATCGACAATTTTCTTTTTAATAGTTAATTTGAAGAAAACGGCTCAGTAGATCTTTACCTAAAACTAAATATCGTTCCGAACCAATATTTATCGAACAGTTTTTAATTTAAAAAATGGATTCAGAATTGTGAGCTAAAACGTGGTCGAAAAGTTTTGCACGTCACAAAATTGAACACAAAACTGATAAACGATAGTCCGTATCGAAGTACATCGAACGACTTTTAAATTTTAAATCAGTTCATGCGTTCATGAGCAAACTTTGATGAAAGGTCTATTTTTGATAAACAAGATAAGATGACAAGTATGAAGAAAAATAGGATTTATAAGAAAAAGATAGTATGGAATTGAAGATTGTATAGAATATGATTGTATGGAAGTAATATTGCAGGTGGCTAAATGCTCGAGTAAGCAAGGCCATTAAATATATATATATATATATATATATATATATATATATATATATATAACTTCTTGAAAATACAATTTTTAAAAATTACAATGAACATATTTTTTATTACGGTTATGTAGATGACATTATCACTTGTATCCCTAGTAATGATGACACTATGATAATTGATCAATTTAATAACGTCAATGAAAAATTAAAATTTACAGTAGAATTGGAGACAATGAACTCGATAAGTTTCTTAGGCATAAAACTTATACGTACTACGGATAACAAACTAATAACAAATTGGTACCAAAAACCAACTAACTCTGGACGTTACCTTAATTACTTTTCTTATCATCCACTCAAAATGAAAATAGGTACTACAATAAATCTAACTGACCACGCAATACTTCTATCGGACAAAACATTTTGGGACAACAACATCAATTTAATTACAAAAATTCTAACAGATAACTTCTATCCCTTAAAACTTATAAATTCCGTATGGCCACGATTAAAATCAGCAAACCACTTTTTCACCATCTATCTTGATTTGAAACAGGCCAGGTAACACTTATCAAGCGATACTTTGGCAGCAATGGTATTTTATTTACTTATCAAAAAACAATGATAAATCAACTCACGAAATTGATTGAATCCATGGTTTCGGAAAACTGAAAAGTAGCGTCACTTAAACTTCTGTAACTTGTAAACTAATCATCCGATGGTCATGAAATTTTGACATATATCTTTTTAAAGTCGTTGTTTCTTACAAATCATATGGATGATTACATTGCTACATCATCTATGTGTTATCTTACGGAGTTATTGAGTGAAGTGATATATATATATATATATATATATATATATATATATATATAAATACAATACAGTTCATATTTACAACAGGTCGGAGCAGCCCATTACGTTGAACGAGTGGCATATGGTGCGACTTTCACGCTCTGGTCGTTTGGCGTCTCTTCGTGTTGATGACATGAGACCGACCGATGTGCTAACTCCAGGCTCGTCAGCCCATCTGAGTCTAACACAAAATTTGCATATAGGTGGTGTACCTAACCCGATCTCATTACCACATTTTCTTAGCGACAAGGGTTCCTTCGTTGGTTGCGTACAAAAGGTAAATAACTATTCATTATACAGTGAAACTTGTTTTTGTGCGGTCCATTGTTATCCGTATTTGTTCTCGTGCAACTGGTTTTAGTTGATTTATTTCTGTACGGTGTATGTACGATTTATTTTTAAAAGGTATATGATGAATCTTATCTTTAGTTACTTTCACAGTCGTGTAGCGGTGTTGTCGCTCGAAGCGCGAGCTATTTGTATGTAGAGTTTTATCCACAATTTATTGATTAAACTAGTGGTTTAATCTTAAACTTAAAAAAAAAAGTTGCCAAAAGCAATCGTTTCGCCAACACAAGCAGAAAGTTTGAATCATTCAAATTGGATGCTCAGTTCTTTCAAAAACTGCCATTTTTGCACATTTTGCTCCGTATCTCCGAAACTGCTGGACCTGCCTTTGCTAAAAACTGATCGGATGCTTCGTTCTCTCAAAAACTCGATTTCTATTTTCTGCACTTTTTGCTCAGTATCTCCGAAACGGCAGGACCTGTCTTTGCCAAAAACTATCTATCAGCATATCTCTCTATCAATAGAAATCGAATGTTTCTTAAGCCATTCAAATTGGTTAATTCGTGTTCCTGAAATCGTCGACGTAAATTTGCACCCGCGCACACACACACACACATGCATATTTTTTAAGGTATTCCAAAGTTTTTAAGAAATTCTTGCAACGTAAAGATATATAAAACATTAATTTTGGATTTTTTTACGATTACTATAACTTACCTCACATTACTCAAGTTAACAATGAAAGTTACTGTAATATATTTGTAAACACTTATAGTAATATATTTGCAAACATTTCTGTTTATTGGAATATTACCTTACTGTACGAGAAGTTCCAACAATTTACCTTAAGTCACGATGCCATATACAATTAGTTGAATTATTCAAATCAGTTGATCTGTCCGCCCAAAATCGTAAACTAAAAATTGTATTCATGGATACATACTGTCGATTCTCGAGTAATATATTTCGAACGGTTTTTTAATTCTCAAAATCGATTCAGAATTGCGGGCTAAAACGTTGACAATTTTTTTTCACTTTTTTACTATAAAGAAATGGCTTGGCTGATTGTCGTGCAAAATTTTTCTTATCGAGATACATCAAATTGATTATAAATTTTTAAAATAACGCCGATTTACGTTAAAAAATCTGTTCACACACACGCACACACAGTGCTGGATTTACAGTAGGGGCTATCGGGGCTACTGCCCAGGGCGGCAAATTTTGGGGGGCGGCAAAATTTGGATAGTGAGAAAAAATTCTATACAATATAATCAACTTTTTTTAACAACATTTTTTATTTCAAAAAATATAATTAACAAAACATAACACGATTGCAATGCAAAATTTGGGTTGAAATAAACGATAACTAAAATTTATTATTTTGCCTTGCCTCCCTCTCCGAACGTAAATCATCAAATTGGTTAATAAGTTATCAAATTTGGCAATTTGGCTAATATAAAGATCCGTCAACAAGCTCAAAGTTTAAGAAAAATATGTTCTTCAGTTTTCGAGCTCTCTTAAAATGACGTATTTGTGCACATCCAAGCTTATAGCGTCGAAAAACAATTTTAATTATTGACTCATGGCATTGTGCCTTAAGACAAATTACTGAAACATTCCGTACTGAAAATCACATTTTATAAAGAGCTTTAAAGTTTATTGAAAATTATGAACTTTTTGCAAAGAAGAGAAAAAATATCGAAACTCAATTACCATTTTTTGTAACTGCTTGTACCAAAAGCTATTCAGCACTCAATTATTCAAGTCGATTTTGAGAACACGGATCAACCGATTTATGATTCAATTCCTATTGATAAGGAGACGTGCTGATTAGTTATTGGTCAAGGCAGGTCCAACTGTTTTGAAGATACGGGCCAAAATGCCAAAAATGATAATTCAGTTTTTGAGTAAAAAGCGTCCAATAACATTCAAAAAAATTTACAGAATAAATAACTGCTTAAATTTGTGGGGGCAGGTTTAGCGGTTTCGATGATCCAATAAAAAAATTTGAAAAAGAAACATTTGGCGGACAAAGACATGTGATCATAAGACATATGCACATTAAATTATCAGATATTTTAAAGATATTATAATAATAAGTATAAATTTTATTTACATTTATATATATTTAATAATAAGTTCTGTAACATTGTTTATCCGTTATTTTGTCCCTCGTGGCTGAAGCAGCGCGATTGCTTTTAAAAAAAGTTCGAAAGTTCGTAAAATTTCAGGGATGGGGCGGCATTTTTGTCAGTGCCCCGGGGCGCCAAATTTCTAAATCCGGCCCTGCGCACACACACACATACTTTTACCAAATTTGGTCTTATTTGATTCAGAATGTCTTGAAAAGTTGAGAAAACATAAAATTAGCGCATCGCATTTTTTTATGAAAACATGAACTTCTCCATTGGGAAGTTAACTAGTTTAAAAAATGTCATTTTTTTTTAATTTTCAAATTTTTCAATAATATAATTTTTTCAAGGATTTCAAAAAGTTTTTAATCTTTGAAAAAATTAAATTACGCTACGGGAAGATCCAGCAATTTGCCTTAAGGCTCGATGCCATGCACCACTAGCATTTTCAATTTTTATGCGATAACTATAACTACCCTGCGGTGATCTTTACGTTTAAAAGCTAGTGAATATTTTGATATATATCTTACTTTGCCTTAGAAAAAAATGAATGTATATGAGGATACAAATGTTTGCCTTCGATTTCGGGAACACCGATCAACCGATTTAAATAATTTAAAAAAAAATTGATTTGTAGTGATAGGAAGACCCAGCAGGCCCAGTTGTTCCGAAAATACGCGGCAAAAATAGTAATTCAATTACCCAAAATAGTAATTAAATTTTTGAGTTAAATACAATTGATTAAAAACATTTATTCGTATTGATTATATCAAATTTTTGGATAAGTCCAGATATTTTGAAGATTCAACAAAAAAAAAGCAATTTAGCGATCAAAAATAATCATTAGACATATACACATCAACTTATCTGATATTTTCTAAAAGATTAATGATAAGTACAAATTTTGTTTACATTTGTATTAGTTCCGTACCAATTTTTATTTGTCAGAGTGCGACGCGGCGCTTATGCGCTTTGATATTTGTTCTCTAAAAAAGCTTGGAAAAAAGTTCATTTATAAAACAAGCAATTCGCCTTAAGGCACGATGCCATGCACGCTAATTTAATTATAGTTAAGACGGTGGTTTGTTTATTATAATAGAAAAGATCATCAACATTTGAACATCCAAGCTGACCTATGTTAACAAATTTCATAAACATGATATAATATTGAACGAAAAATTTAAAATTGAACAATCCCTCTTTTGATATCGCTTGCCTGCCTACTTTTATAATTTTTCACTTTTCTATCTTTTCACCTATCAACCTGTCTACCTATCAACCTATATACATGTATACCTATCTACCTATTTACAACTAATTTTATTTGTAAACTAGCTGTAAGTGGAATTCTGTCTTAAGGCAATTAAGGCATTGTGCCTTAAGGCAAATTGCTGGAACTTCCCGTACCAAAAATGTATTAACGATTAACATTTTTAAAATTTTTTTTTTTATTTTTTTTTAAATGTTTTCTTTATTTTGACATATTTTGGAAGATTTGACCTTTTTTTCAAAGCAATCGTACTGCTTTAAATGCATAGAGACAAAATATAAAGCGCATAAGCGCCGCGTCGCAGAGTAACGGATAAACATTGGTACGGAACCCATAGAAATGTAAACAAAATTCATACTTATTGTTAAAATATCTGATAATTTGATGTGCATATGTCTAATGATCATTTTTGACCGCCAAATGGCATTTTTTTTTGTTAGATCTCCGAAACCGCTAGACCTACCTTCATGAAAATTTGACTAATTCTTCATCTTGTCAATACAAGTAAAATGTTTTTTGAATTATTAAAATCGGACGCCCCGTTCTCTTAAAAACTGAGGAACCATTTTTGGCACTTTTTGCCCCATATCTTCGGAACGGTTAGACCTGCCTCCGCCAAAAACTAATCAGCACGTCTCCTTATCAATACGAATCGAATACTTTCTGAATTATTCAAATCGCTTCATCCGTGTTCCTGAAATCGTCGACGAAAATTTGTATCCGCACACACATACATACACGTACACACACACACACACATACACACACACATACACTATTTCCATTTTTTTCTAAGGTATGCCAAAATATTCAGAAACCTCTAAAACGTAAAGATATATAAAAATTTTCATTTTCGATTTTTTTGCGGTTACTATAACTTACCCTACGGGAAGTTAATGAATCAATAATAATTATTTGCAAAGATCACATTTGACTAACAAATGTCAATTTTTACCGAAACTGCATCTCTAAAACCGCTGAATCTACAATCGCAAAATATAATACTTCTAGTAGAATCCGTTATCTCAAAAACAGTTATTTTTATCACTTTTTACTCTGTGTCTCTCAAACAAGTGCGCCTGTCTTTGACAAAAACTAATTAGCTGGTTTCCCTATTAAAAGGAATCAAATGTTTTTTGCTCAATCATTTCAAATCAATTGATACGTGCGCTCAAAATATTGGACAAAATATTATTTTCATACATACATAAATTCCTTTTTCTAAGGTCTGCCAAAATGTTCAAGAAATCTTGAAACGTAAAGATGTGCAAAAAAAATTATTTTCGATTATTTGTGAGTTATAGCAAACCTACGGGAAGTTAACAATGGTATAGGAAAAAGCACAAAAGTATGGAACAAATGTGATAAGAATGTACTAGTAAAATATGTGAATTGTGCGAGATAATCCAATTGAATACTAGTTGATAATTACAGGTGGTTATAAATGATCGAACAATTAATGTTCTTGCTGAAGCTTTGGGAGGATCTAACGTTGACAATTGTCCACATCCTTGCATTACAAATCCTTGTGGACCTGATGGACAATGCATTCCTGTTATGGACTATTTCACTTGTAAATGTAATACTGTTTCCTATGGGTCAGGATGCCAAATCCAAGTTGTAAGTCTATTATGTACTTTTTATCATACTTTTCGAAATTTAGTGTATTTGATTCTATTTTTATTATATTTTTTATTTTTTAGGGATCTGCAAATATCAATCGAAATTCTTCGCTGTCAATTAATTCAGTATCTGGAGTAAGGTTTACTGGAACAGATAGTTATATGCATTACAACGACGGAGAGACTCTACACAGGTTTGCAAACCTATTATTTTTAACTTCCCGAAGGAGAAGTTTGTTTTTGCGGCAAATCAGATTTGATAATTGTATTTCATTTGACGTTTTAAGTCATTCTGAATGGATTGACACCAAATTCGGAGCTGATTTTTGACGTTTCGTCGACCTTCTCATACATGGCTAACCCGATTACAAAAATTTAAAACTATTCGATGTATTTCGATAAGTACTGGCTTTTATCAGTGTTGCACAACAATTGGAATTGTAACTAGAAGAAAAAAATTTTGTTCACGTTTTAGTTGGGAATCGTGCTGATCAGAGTTAGGTTAATATCGGGCCATTTTCTTGTAATTAACTGTTAAAAAAAATCAACAATTTTAATAGAACTTTTTGGACGATAGATAGCGTGGTTTTATTGAACATACTAAAATATTACGACTAAAAGACAAGTCGTTTAATTTTTACGATTCAGTTTGAAAAAATTTTAGTAAAGTTTTTTTGACGTTTATTAAAATGAGACTTTTCAACAACGTTGTTTTCAAAAACGGCTGAGTTGATTTTAATAATTGAAAGGCTTTTCGATGGAACTTGATAAGCACTAGCGTTGGTTGCGATCGGCTGAACTGTTTTTTAGAATTAGTTGAAGAGTACATTTTTTTACATGAATCTTTGTATAGCGATAGAATACGTAGTCTTAATGAACATACTAGAATTTTATTGTAGGACTATAAACTGATTCAATTATAAAAATTAGTGGTGCTTGGCATCGCGCCTTTTTAAAAAAAATCTGGAACTTTCCGTACCGTAACTAAACATACAATGAATGAAAATAACACTGCGCGACAAATTTGGCACTTTCAATTTTTTCTTTGAACTTTTTTATTTCAATCTACTTAAAACTGCACGCTGATTTCAAATATACCTTTCGTTTTTTGTAACAGCTCTAATTTTTGAGTTTTAGGGGATTACACCAATTAGTCATTTCGGCTATGATTATCGAATAAATAAGAGTTTTATCTTCTATTTTTGGTATGGTTTCGACTCTAAGACGATGTGTGCATAATTTAGGTAAATTTTATTACGACTGTGGTTAATATGTCCTCGACAAATATCGGAAACCTATGTGAAACTGCGTAACGACATCGAATTTCAACCACTTTAAAACTCAATTGCGCAATGTGAAAACATTGCGTAGTATGTTTACGTTATTATCCAGAAGAAAAATAAAATGATATAATTTTAATACTTCAATCATTTAGGAAAATACTCAGAATCACCACGACAGTTGTTTCTTCTGTGTGGTAAATATCAAAGAAATAAATTCAAGGAATAGAAGCAAATGGTCATAAACTACAACACCAATGGTATTGAATTATGATCAGCTACACAACCCCTATTCATGCTAATGATAAGCAACCTAGAACATCAACATCTCTTGCCTACCAAGTAATAGATGCAGAAACCAAAGTTAAAAGAGAAGACAGAAAGAATTAAAAACTAATATATTTGATGTAATTGATTTAAATTCATCACCCGTACTCTTATTTAAAATGGTTTTTGGAAAATGTTGGAGATATTAACGAAGAGCAGGCGAGAGTCTCCACCAAGACATCAGGACGGAGCGATATCAAGGAAAATGGGACATGCACATGTGGCTGACAATTGTTGGAACTTATGACGAAATCAGTTAAGCTTTGGCCATGCTAGAAAATCATGTAAAAAGACCTTTGAAGGCATAATTTGAAATATGTTGTATTTTACATTGTAATGTGTGGTAAAACTAGCATACTGGGATATCTAAAAAACTACAGCTGTTAGCAAATTTCTGTTTTTATTTTTGGAATCAGCGTTCTCGAATCACTTAAAAACCATCATAATATCTCAGAAAAAAAATTTAGTGCCGCGCAGTGTAATCAATAATCAATAAAAGTCATTCAATAATAACTAGTAGTGTATAGCATTGCGCAATAAAACAAATTGCTGGAACTTTCCGTAACAAAATATTCAAAAGAATTAAATGTTTAAAAATATATTATTGTAAATACTGTAACTTTCATTATTATTATTTTATAGACAAAATATAAGGGCTTAATAATTGATGTTTATATATATATATAAGTTTACATAAAAAGTCAATAAACAAAACTTAATGATCCCTTTCGAAGCGGAGTTAGAATGAAGAATCATATCTAATTAAACTGAATTCAACTGAAGTTAAAAATATTTATGGGAAGCATTTTAGCAGCAATTAAAATTGAAATCTGAATGTTTTTTCGATATTCAAGATTGTAACTAATTTTTTCTATCAATTCTGAAATATTTAAAAAAAAACATTTGTTTCATCAACACAAGCTAAGAGTTCTTTGAATTATTTAAACCTTCTCTGCACCTTTTGCTTTTTATCTCGGAAACGGCTGGACCGACCTTTCCTAAAAACTAATCAGCACTAATCCTCATCAATAGGAATCGATGGCTTTTTCAATCATTCAAATCGGATGAGCGGTACTCTCGGAAACGTCGACGAAAAACTGTATCCACACATATATACACACACGCACAATCACACACATCTATTTTTCCTGAGTTATGCCAAAATCCTCAAAAAACTCTAAAACGTGAAGATATGGAATACTTTTCATTTTCGATTTTTGGCCCATTACTATAACTTACCGTAAGGCAGTTAATTTATAACAATTGTTTTGAATCTTTTCAAATAGATTATTTATTATAAATATTATGCTTATTAAATTAGGCGACGATCGTATTCTACAAAGAACTAATGTGTATGTTTTCAAGAAATTTGTTCTTTTTTCATTTTCTTCGTAATTTTGAACTTTTTTCAAAGTCTCGTGGTCAGTACGAACCGAATGTTGTTTCCATCATTTGAGTCGGTTATTCCATACTTTCGAAAATGTTGAGGACATTTTTTTGAATCATATAAATCAAGTCAACTTTAAAAATAAAAATCTTGGTGCGGTACCAAAAAAAAATTACATAAAATGTGTATGCATTATTAAAATCATTATTAAATATTTGATAATTTGATATTCATATGTCAAATAATAATTTTTGACCACCAAATACTATTTTTTCAAAACTTTTTTGGGCATGCGAAACCGCTAGACCTTCTCAAAAATTTAGTGAATTATCCTTTGGGCCGACACAAGTTCAATGAATCATTTAAATCGAACGCTTCGTTCTCTCAAAAACTGAATTGCCAATTTTGTCACTTTTTACCCCGTATCTTAGAAACGACTAAACCTGCCTTTGCTAAAACCTAATGAGCATGCTTCCTTATGGATAAGAATCCAATGTTTTTTGAATCATTCAAATAAGTTGATTTGTGTTTTCGAAATCGTCAACGAAAAATTGTATCCGCACAATCATACATTTGTGCTAAGGTATTTCAAAATGTTCAGAAATGTTTGAAACGTAAATATATGCAAACAAATTTATTTTCAATTTTCCTTACATTACCATTAAATGAAAGATTCATAGATATTAAAATTTTAACTAGTGGTGCTTGACATCGTGCCTTAAAACAAATTGCTGGAACTTGCCGTACCGAAAATTAGTTTTTTAAAATAATCTTTAAAAATTTTTGAAAACTTAAAAAAATAAGATTTTTGAGTATTTTCAAATTTTTGAAAAAAAAAAACACTTTTTTTTCGAATTTTTTCTATACTTTGAATTTTTATGAAAATTCTGTTGGCTGTTTTAGAGAAGAAATAAACGTAAGCGCCGTATAATAAACATTGGTACGGAACCCTTGGAAATGTAACTACAATTTATACTTATTATTAAAATCTCTATTATTGCAGTAAACGGAGCGTTTTAGGTCTGAATTTTTTTACTGTGCTCCGAATTTTATGAAATTTTGGAATTAGGTTCATCTTACCCTCAAGTTCAAAATTGAAAACATTTCTGGTTGTGCCACCATGCCCCGGGGGGATGACACCCTTTCTCAATTGTGTAATTACATTTTTTCAAAATAACGTCCGAAATCGATAGAAGAACAAATTATAAGAAAAAAATGTCTCTATAGCTTAAAAAAAAACTAATACTTTTCAAGTTACTGGCCACTAAAGATTTACATATTTTTGGCGTTTTTCTTCGTTTTTTTTGCAAATATCTCCTAAAATATACATTTTAACGAAAATCATGTAATGAACAAAATAATGTCAATAAAAATCTTAATGAATCGGTATTACATAAAGTGTTCTAGGAAAAATATTAAGTAAGATTTGAAAGAGCAAAGTCATTTTTTATTTCGTTCAAGATTTAATGGTTGTATTTAAAGCCATCTAGTATCGAGGTTTTACATTTTATGCATTTCGGTGAAATTGGGCTTTATAGTGCTCAACATAAGCTTTAAAATGAGTGCTGTTACAAGTTTTTTGCGTGTAAAATGAGTGAGCTATCATGCAAATAAAAGCATATACAAATTTTTTTCTTTTAAATCATATGGTTTAATGAGCGCCATTTCCACCAGAATTAAAGTAATTCACATATTCCATCTAGAATTCACTTCATTATAGACATCTTGATAGATTCTAGCGAATTCACTACTTTAGTACAAACTATTTTCAGAAAACTCACGATTTTATAAAAACTTTTTTCTTCAATTTGCGTGGCCGCGCAGTCTTTAAATATTCATAACTCTGTCAATTTTTGTGTGAAAGAAAAATAATAAAAAACAATAATAAGCCAGAAAAATCTTTTTGATTTTTATCTATATGCTTTTATACATATCGTTTATTCTTTTTGAGATATAATGAAAATAATTTCGAATTTAAAAAAAAAATGAAAAAAAAAGTTTTTATCAAATTGTGAGTTTTCTAAAAATAGTTTGTACTAAAGTAGTGAATCTGCTAGAATCCATACAGATGTCCATAATGAAGTGAATTCTAGATGAAATGTGAATGTGAAAAGATACGTATAAAAACAATAGATAAAAATCAAAGGGATCTTTCTGGCTTATTGTTGTTTTTTATTATTTTTTTTTTCACACAAAAATTGACAGAGTTATGAATGCCGCGCAAATTGGAAAAAAAAGTTTTTATAAAATCGTGAGTTTTCTGAAAATAGTTTGTACTAAAGTAGTGAATCCGCTAGAATTCATCAAGATGTCTATAATGAAGTGAATTCTAGATGGAATATGTGAATTACTTTAATTCTGGTGGAAATGGCGCTCATTAAACCATATGATTTAAAAGAAAAAAATTTCGCATATGCTTTTATTTGCATGATAGCTCACTCATTTTACACGCAAAAAACTTGTAACAGCACTCATTTTAAAGCTTATGTTGAGCACTATGAAGCCCAATTTCAACGAAATGCATAAAATGTAAAACCTCGATACTAGATGGCTTTAAATACAACCATTAAATCTTGAACGAAATAAAAAACGAATTTGCTCTTTCAAATCTTGCTTAATATTTTTCCTAGAACACTTTATGTATTATGGATTTATTAAGATTTTTATTGACATTATTTTGTTCATTACATGATTTTCGTTAAAATGTATATTTTAGGAGATATTTGCAAAAAAACGAAGAAAAACGCCAAAAATATATAAATCTTTAGTGGCCAGTAACTTGAAAAGTATTAGTTTTTTTTTAAGCTATAGAGACATTTTTTTCTTATAATTTGTTCTTCTATCGATTTCGGACGTTATTTTGAAAAAATGTAATTACACAATTGAGAAAGGGTGTCATCCCCCCGGGGGATGGTGGCGCAACCCAAAATGTTTTCACTTTTGAACTTAAGGGTAAGATGAACCTAATTCCAAAATTTCATTCAATTCGGAGCACAGTAAAAAAATTCAGAGGTTATACCCCTTTTTCCTCTCCGTTTACTGCACTATATGAAATATCTGATGATTTGACTAATGCATATGAGTAATGATTATTTTTGATCGCCAAATGTCATTTTTTCACTTTTTTCACTCGATCTCTGAAATTGCTTGACCGGCCTTTGCAAAAATATAAACAGTACTTTATTTTGTCAATATAAATAAAATGCTTTTCGAATTATTCAAATCGAACGCTACGTTCTCTCAGAAACTGAATTACTATTTTGAGCCCTTCTTGCCCTGTATCTTCGAAACGGTCAGACTTGCTTTTACCAAAAAATAATCAACACGTCTCCCTATTAATACGAATCTAATGTTTTTTGAATTATTCAAATCGGTTGATTCATGTTCTCGAAATGGTCGACAAAAATTTGTATCCGTGCGCATACATACTCACATACATACATAATTTTTATCAAATGTATGTCCAAATGTTCAAAAATCTCTGAAACGTAAACAGATATAATATAATATAATTATTACCCTACGGGAAGTTAATTATATCACATAACTCAGAATTATTATAAAATACTCTTCAAACTATTCACACTATTTATTTATGCTGATTATTTTTATTTTTATTGTTAAAAATCGAATTTTTATTGTTTATAGAATGAGATATTACGATGTTTTATTTATGTTTATTGTTTGTAGAATCAGATATTACAATGGGATATTTTGTTGCCCAATCATACATATTAGTTTGTTATTTTGGAAATCATTGTTTAAATGTACATGTATACTGTCTCACTATAAATATAAATTTTTATGTCATGCGTATAATTTAATTCTAACAGAATAGTGACATACGTATTGGACATAAACCTGAGGTTTCGCACCACTTCACCGAATGGCTTAATGTTGTGGAGCGGGCGACACCATTCTAGTTCGGCTAAAGATCATATCGCGCTGGGACTAACTGATGGATATTTGCAACTTCACTACAACTTAGGACAAGGTGATGTTGAAATAATCTACAACAAAACGAGGGTTGCAGATGGTTTGTGGCACAGATTGCGAGTTCTGAGGTAATAATAATACTATGATTTATATTTAATTTTATTATTAGTGAGTAATTTTATTGGCCGTTTTTATATTCATCAAAATCATTTTAATAAGTTAATGAAATAGTTTTTTACGATAAATTATTACTTAAAAATTAAACTTTAAAGCAAACTTTCAAATACTTTTTTCGTGACGAATAGAGCCAGGTGTCAAATTGTAGTTCATTTTTGTTTTGAATATATTAGAATATAAGAAAATATATTAAAAACCCAACTGACATTTTCTTCGATAACACATGAAAGTTGAATTTGATTCCAAAGTCAGATGCAAGGAGAAGAATTGATTTAATACAATGCGAAAATGGCAATGTCTTATATAATTAATGTTGTCTTATTGCTTGACTACTTACTGAAACTATTAAAACAAAACTATTAAAATTAAGTAAGGCCTTTTCTGACCACAATTTGGGGTTTTCAAAATCATTTAAAAAATCAGCCACAGGATCAGTGATATTTTTAAGTTAATAAACTTTTGACAAAATATGGTAATAGACACTCGTGGACTCAAATGACCAGGCATATTTTTGGCATGTGGCGGAAACATTTTGAAAATTGTTTAAATAAAAAAATTCTCCAGAAAATATTGAAATCTAAATATACAGAAACAGCAAAATTTTTCAAGATTGCTTGGAAGTAGCAATGAACACTTTAGAAAAACGAACAAATGTAAAGACTGACTTTACCCGCCGTAAAATTTTTAGTCGACAACTTGAAAATAGGGTCGAGAAGCGTATAAGTGAAAATCTAACTATTAAGTATTTAGGATTATGTCGTATTAAAATATTTAGAAATAAAGAAGAACATGTATGTCTATGTTATAGAATGGTAAAAGGCTGTAACTAATTAAATAGAACTGGATTGGAGAGACCCCGAAGTCCTGGCATCGTGTCTTAAACTACTGTTCAACAACTCTAAAATTTTCGAAAATTTCGAAAAAATATTTTTTGGCGTGTGGCAACGTCGCCATCGTAAGGGTTGTGCCGGTTGGTGCGTACAGATTGCTCAACAGGCAGTCGGTCCCGGTTAGTTGTTGCGATAAGATATTTCTGTACATAAACTGTTAATAAACTATTATTATAAATTATCATACGCATTTCATTGGTAATATACCAAAGTGGTGACCCTGACGTAATTTAGTGTGTGTGTGTTAATTTTAAATGAATTCACGGGTGAAAAAGTTAAGTGCAGTGGAAAAAATGACTACGCCAGTAGTAGTGCCTTGCGATAACGTAAATTTGCCACATTTTTACGAGTAAGACCCAGAATTGTGGTTTGCTTTAGCGGAAAGTGTGTTTTTACACGCTAATGTGCAGGATGAAAGTTTAAAATTTCATACGGTCATTAGTAAGTTGGACCCGAGGTATGCGTCGGAAGTTTGCGATATAATTCTGAAACCCCCTAAAGACAATCCATATAGTGTGTTGAAACGTGAATTGTTGAAAGGGTATGGCATCTCCAATGAAACAAAACTACGCCAGTTGTTGTAAGGTCAGGAAATGGGTGATAGATCTCCATCACAGTTTTTACGGCACCTACGCTCATTAGCGGGTTCAGCTGTTTCAAAAGAAATGCTAAACTTAATGTGGTCGTCGCGATTGCCTACGCATGTGCAAGCGTTAGTATCTGTACGGTAAAACAGTGTCATAGATTTGAATGCGAAAGCCGCCGACAGAATTATGGAATTGGAGACAGCATCGGGTGCAACAACAATGGCGATTGCAAGCACATCATCGTACTCGGATGCGATCGCGTCAAAATTGCGGAACATGCGAATGGAGATTGCTGACCTGAGAAAGAAGGTAGAAGGCCGACGGGACAATTCATCCCATTGTCGTAGGCGCAGATCGCGTACGCCCGCGAGCACTCGGTCAGGTTCGGAAGAGCGCGTACGAACGCTGTGCGAAGATCATCGACGGTTTGGTCGGAATGCAACGAGATGCCAATCGCCGTGCGAGATGCGTTCGGAAAACTCCGTGGGCCATCGTTATTAGCGGCACACGATATACGCCCAGGGAGACAGATAAGCCGCCGCGTTTGCCTAAGTGACAGAAAGAGTCAGGTGTCGTACCTTATTGATACGGGGTCGGACGTTTCAGCGTTCCCGCGCTCATTATTATGCAATCCAAATAGGAAGAGGATTGCGTACCAGCTAGCCGCAGCAAATAATACGACGATTGCAACCTATGGTACGGTGGCAATAGTGGTTGACCTTGGGCTACGTTGCGACCTGTCATGGAACTTTATTGTAGCAGACGTTACGCAACCAATAATTGGTGTAGATTTTCTCGCATACTACGGTTTGATTGTGGATGTGAAAAATCGTCGAATAACGGATGCTATGGCAGGATTAACGGCGCAGGCGGATATTGCAGCGGGATCAATAGCGACTATAAAGGTGGTAACGGGTTCAACGGCGTACCAAAAGTCGCTTGAAAAGTTTCCTGGTTTAACACGACCAGACGGCGCTGTTAGGTTGCGCAAGCACGCGACGCATCACTATATAGTCCTGGACCGCGGAGATTAGCTCCGGACAGATTACTGGCTGCTAAAAAGGAATTTGAAATTAGGAACGGCTCGACTATCAAAAAGTTGTTGGGCAGCCCCGCTACATATGGTTCCAAAAGGGTGTGAAGAGTGGCGTCCATGTGGCGATTATTAAGGTTTGAATGCGCGAACGAAGCCCGACAAGTATCTAGTACGTCATATTCTTGATTTTGCCCAAGCCTTAGATGGGAAAACTATATTCTCGACTATAGACTTGGTGAAAGCGTTTGACCAAATTCCGGTGGCGGAAGATGATATTGCGAAAACCGCTATTACAACGCCGTTTGGACTATATGAATTTCCGTACATGACGTTTGGATTGCGCAACGCCGCGCAAACATTCCAGAGATTTATCGATGAGGTGTTGCAAGGGTTAGATTTTTGTTATGCCTACATCGATGATATCCTTGTGGCTTCGTCGTCCGAGAAAGATCATACGGCGCACCTAGAGACACTGTTTGGTAAACTTCTGGAATTTGGAGTGGTAATAAACCCAGCTAAGTGCGTGTTCGGCCAAACAAGTGTAAAGTTTTTGGGATATTAGGTTTCGGCTGAGGGTACTCGCACCTTGCCAGAGAAGGATGAAGCTATTAGGACATTCACAAAACCAGCGAGAATGCAGGAGCTGAGGTGGTTTTTGGGCTTGCTAAACTTTTACAGAAGGCTCATACCAAATGCCGCTCAAATTCAAGCACCGTTAAATGAGTTTCTGCGTGGAGTTACAAAGAGCAAAACCCCGGTAGAGTGGACAGCGCATATATCAGCTGCGTTTGAAGCGTATAAGGAGAGTCTGGCTCCAGCAGCACTACTATTCCACCCACACGCTAATGCTCATTTAGCTGTTTTCTGCGACGCTTCAGAACATTCCATTGAAGTCTCATCACAGCAGCAGGTCGCTAACAGCTGGCAACCCTTGGCATTCTTTTCGCGAAAACTGAGCACAACGGAACGAAAATACGCAACTTACGATCGTGAACTACTTGCAGTGTATGAAGCGGTGAAATACTTTCGTCACATGGTTGAGGCAAGAACTACAATTACAATTTTTACTGACCATAAACCAATAGTGTTCGCATTTGTCAAGAAGGATAGTCAGTGTTCGCCTCGTCAATTCCGATATTTAGACTTTATCGCCCAATTTTCGACCGATATACGTCATATATCGGGAGAGAAAAATGTTGTCGCCGACGCATTATCGCGGGTGGAGTCTCTAAGAAGTGCCGGAATGGATATGTAGTTATTAACAGCGGAGCAGAGAATAGATGAAGAAATAGCTAAGTTGCGCACCGAAAACAACACGTCACTCAAACTGAAACTTATTCAATTTGAGGACCAAGACATGTCAGTCTTGTGCGACACCTCTACGAGAACAGCTAGACCATATGTTCCAACAAAGTTACGGCAGGCGGTGTTTGATAGCCTACACGGATTGTCACACCCTGGTATGAATGCTACGATCAAGTTAGTTACACAGAAATATGTGTGGCCATACATCAAACGGGATTGCCGTGAGTGGGCTCGATGTTGCGTCGCATGTCAGCGGGCAAAAGTCAGTAGGCTCGTGCAGGCTCCAACGGGACAATTTGAACTTCCATCGGGTAGATTTGAGCACGTGCATATCGATATAGTGATAATGCCATTGTCAGAAGGATATCGGTATTGCCTGAAATGCGTCGACAGGTTCTCTAGATGGACAGAAGCAATTCCAATTAGAGACCAAGAAGTCTCCACCGCAGCGCGAGTTTTCTATTCTAATTGGATTGATTTCTATTCTAAGATTTGGTATACCACTGCGGCTAACGTCAGACCAGGGAAGGCAGTTCCAGTCACGAATATACAGTCAACTAAATCAGCTGCTTGGCACGAGTCATTACAAGACTACGGCATACCATCCCAAAGCCAATGGGATGGTTGAAAGATTCCACCGCCATCTCAAAGCAGCTATCAGATGCCATAGCTGTGAAAGATGGATGAAGAGATATTACCGACGGTTATATTAGGAATTTGAGCAGCATGGAAGGAGGATCTGCAAGCTACTGTTGCGGAAATGGTATATGGAGAAGCCTTGCGATTGCCTGGACTAATGCTACATGTAACACCGACCAGTGATTACGGCAAAAGAAACTTTGCGTTCGCGTACAGATTGCTCAACAGGCAGTCGGTCCCGGTTAGTTGTCGCAAAAAGATATCTCTGTACATAAACTGTTAATAAACTTTTATTATTAATTATTAATTGGTAATATACCAAAGAATTTTGAAATTTGTGAAATTTTAGAAAAAAAAATCCTTTTTTAAAACATTTGAGACTTCTTTGTATGGGTGACTTTATACGTGCGTACGTCACCGAAATCGTGAAGCAAATTGTTCATTTATTGGTGTTTCATGTCATTACATTTTAAGGCTAACTAGTTGGTGTGGTA